GAAGACTTAAAGTACGACTGTGACCCATTATTACCCTGCCATTAAATTTCACAGTAATACAACAGAGAAAAGTCCAAAATGAAATACTATCCCGTGAGTCATCCTGACCACACATGTTGTTTGGTATTAAGATGGCAGGGTGGGGAAGGGACTGCAGGTCTTGCAGATTCTGTACTCTGTTCCAAAATATCATGAAATCGTGTGAAATTTTTAGGTGAAATTATTATTTGGAAGGACTACAGTTGTTGTTGTTTCCTGAATGTAACAGATACTAAATAAAGAGCAGAACCAGACCCAGATCTAAGAAGCTGCTGTCCTTGCATCCTCCCAAAAGATAGTTATTATTTTATGCCTGCTGGTTTGATTTGGTTTATTGATTTTTTTTTTGTAAAGAAGAACATTTTATCTTCTGTGTTTGGCTTCCTTAGCGGGCTGTAAGTTTGTAAGATTCATCACACTGCATTGCACAATGAAAGGAAATTCATTCTGATGCTTCCGAGATCCAATTTTATGAAGATAGCACAGGCAGCAGATTTGTTCATTGGTTGGTAAGTGTTGGGGCTGCCACTGATGTGGGGGCTAGGATGAAGAATTCGGTAATCAACCATCTTGTCTGCCTTTTTGGTGAGTACATCTTCTATTAGGTATGTAATTCTAGGAGCGAAATTATGAGGTCACAGATTCATGAATGCTTGTCTACCATAGATTCTGCCAAATGGTTTCTCAAAGGGGTCCCTAAACGTAGGCTCTTGTCAGCAGTGAATGTGTTTCACTGGCCTTCCATCTTTCCTGGGATCTGGTGTCACGGGCGGTGTTGATTTCCGCTGTGCTGGTGGGTGTGGAGGAGTGTTGAGCACTGTTTGAATCCACCCTCCTCTCAGGCCTGCCAGGAAGAAACTCCTTCTCATGTGCTTTTGGACACCCAAATACCCAGCCTTAGAAAGCATTTGTTCCAGTCTTGTGTGGGAATGCTTTGTGCTTTTCAGGTATGAGGTACTCGGTCACATACACACACACAACGTCAACTCTCAGCATGGCTTTGCCTCTTCAACTCTCCTACTGGTAATCGTAATGGCAACTCTAGAATTCTCAGTTTTTTTGATTGGAGTATTGGCAGGGGGTGGGGAGGTTGGCCAGGAAACAATATTCCTATATTGTTTTTTAGGAAATTCATTATTCTTTCCTGTTACCTGAGAACACTCCAACACACACGGTATGAATTTTTAGTGTAGGAAGACCTGACATTGGACCCAGCACCAATTCTAAGATAACCCCTTTTCCCAACTAAACTGCCAGTTACAAATTTGCCAAGTGGATCTAACAAGGAACTCTACTGGATCTCAAGCTATTTTCCCATCTACGTGGCTAAAGCCAACCTGTCTTGATTATTGTAACATTAAAACAAACATTGACATCCAGCAGTCGAAGACGTTCTCTTTGCTCTTTTCCTCAAGGCTGAGTTTGCTTGTGGTAGGCTTCATTTCCTGTAACGGTGAGAACCAGCTTTCTCAGTTTTCAAGGACACAGAAAGAAAGCCCACTTGGATCTCAACTGAAATGCACTGATTTCCAACTGATCTGCACAGTGATTTGAAAACAGAGTCCTCTGTACTGAAGAGCCTCTGGGAATAAAAAGGGGATTCCTTCTGTTTGGGCATCATTTTGGTTTCTTCCTCTATGTGCTGTAGTTTTCTGTGAAAGGGGTTTGCCCATCTTTCGTTAGCATTCTTCCTAGGTCTATCATGTTTTATCATACTAATGTCAGAGGACCCAGTTATAATTTTTATTCTGCAACTGCTTCTTGCTAGTAGATAAAAAAAATCTAACTGAATAATTTACATTGAACAGTAGCTTTTCCAGCTCACATTTTAATTCTAAAAGTGCTAAAAGCAAAGAACACATGCACAGAGAGACTATGTGATGGAGAAGGTCTGGAGGAAGCTTCCATTTCATGGAGGGACCTTCCATCTCTAACTTACTACAATGAACAGATGTGTGATTGTGTTTAAATGTCCATATGATAGCTATTTACTTTTTCCTGTTTCCCATTCTGATGGTAGTAAGATACAATAATTAGATTTGTGAATACATGAAATGGTTTTTGGATCCTAGCTCGACTGTAATATGCTATTCATTGGAGAGATTGATGGTTTTAATTTGCTAATATTTTGTGGTATATTTCTCCATCTATTTCCCTGGTATGCATTGGATTCCAAACAAATTAAAGCAACTTTTTTTATGGGGGGAGATAGAAGTTTCCTTCACCAGACGAAAGTCACGTGTATGACTAAGTAGAACTCTTGGTGTCTCATGACTAGTGAAATAAGTAGTCCAATGCCAATTGACATTAAATGACATCCACATCAGACACTTTTTATTAATACACTAGCATTTAGTTAGGTCAATTGAATTTCAATAAATAATGAGTTTATCCCTTCAAAGTAGAAAGGAAAAGGACTGCTATGTATAGAGAACCTGCTGTCTTCATGCTATTTATCTTCAAACCTCACTTTTCTCCTTGAATTCTCAGTCAGTCCCAATAGCTAGCAGGGAATTTTATACGCTTTCTTTCTTTACCATCCTATGCATGTTTTCAAGTGACAGAATTAAGATTCGCTGAACCTCAAACCTCTGACAAATTTTCTAAGTGCTCCCAGGAATAATTAAACCTGGAAAATGCAAAGTAGTAATTATAACACATAGACATAGCAGTCATGTAAGGAAGTTGTGATTAATCAACACACTTCCCTGAACACTGAATGGCGTTTGTATTCCAAACTGCAGGATGCTGCAAAGGTCTTTCTGCGATGAGGTTGAGAACAAAACTTGCCATAAAGGTAATTCATAAAGCAAATAAAATCATAAAAAATGAGTCCAGTTATCCGCAGACATATTCTTTAGCCCACGGTCTGGCTTTATTCTGCTTGTACCAACCAGGCAGAATTCTCCCATCTTTCAGATCAGGCAAGACACAAAGATGATGTAGTCAGTAATTCTACCCTAACTCGAGTATGACAAAAGCTCCCCAAAAGGTTGACAATTTTTATCCAAAAGATTTTTTTCTCTGAAAATTTAAATGAGGCGACAGAGGACTAAGATCTGCTGCTTTCTAAATTATTTCATCTTTTTCCCTTTCATGTGATTTAAATGTTCTCTGAATGTGTCCAAAACCGTGGGGAAATAAATACAGTCATTCTGCAAAATGACAGCGTCCCACATTTAGCCCTATGTATAGTACCCTATGCCCAAGAGACCTAAGCAAGAAGAGACACATGGGGGTGGCTTCACAGGCCATGGGGGACCTCACAAACCCCAAAGAGAATAGAAATAATGGCGGTTTCTTCGCCGTAACCCCCTCATAGTGTTTGCATCCTCAAGATCCTCAAGGCCCCATGGGCAGACACTAAAACAAACAAGACTTGGCCACTGACTGTAGAAAAGAAGGTAAAATGGGACTGGGCATGGAGGGTGAAACCTGTACCAGCTACTTTGAAGATGGAGATTGGGAGGATCACAGATCACTTCCAGCTAGGCAAGAAAGAAAAAAAATAAAGAAAACTCTCATCTTAGCAAAACAAGATGAACCTAGGGGAATACATGTGTGCCCTTGGCTACATGAGCATAGAAGAGAAGATTATGGTCCATTGCTGGCCCAGGCAAAAAGATGAGATCCTATCTTAAAAAATAATTAAAGCAAAAAATGGCTGGGAGCATGGGTAAGGTGGTGGAATGTCTGCCTAGCAAGTACAAAGCTCTGAGTTCAAACCTCAGTAAGCCCAAAAGCTAAATGGCCTTCAGTAGTGTGTGTGTGTGTGTGTGTATGCACGTGTGTATATGTGTGTGTGTGTGTGTTGCACATGTACACTATATACAGATACATGCACATACATATATATCTGATATAGGTATATTAGATCTATATCTCTACCTTATCATACATCTTTTCTTTTAAACAGAAAATTCCTTTAGAGGGATTATTTCAAAATCATTTTGGCACCATGAAAATGGGAGTTATTTTTTCTAAGAGTTACAATCAGTAACTCTTTGGGAAACCAGAGTTCATAACTCAGATAATAATTTTCCTGTTCCACTTTGAGTATCCTTTTTGGTTATCAATAACTCATGGTTTTGCTTTGTCACAAGTGATGTTAAGAACTTCTTGCTAAGTTCCTTCACCTTGATGAAGATCATGCATTTATTTATTCACAAATCCAAGAAGATGAACAAATGGCCCTTAACCACACCAAGCATAATGGCTCTAAGTAGAAAGCTGGCTGTGGTCATCAAATACAAGTATAGATAGCACAGAAGCAAAAGCATTCAACTGACTGAATCACAAAAGGAATTCATGAAGGTTTACTAGATAAACGCCAAGAAATTCGCGTATGCAAGAGTAGGAAATCAGTTGATGCACAGGGTTCATTTGTAAAGAAAGGAAGAATTTCATTGCGTGTAAAATCAGTTCTTCCTTTGATAACACACTTCATCCCAGGAAAAGATTTCCACCTCACCTCAGAAGAAAATGATTCGCACCTTTTTTTTTTTTTTTTGGTACCATATTGTAAGTAACTAAAGCTGCATGTGTCACCATCATTTTGTTGCTTCAAATACACGAGAGTGTCATGAAATACGACTTGCTATAAAGCACCTCAGAACACAGTTGCATGGTGAGCAGCATCTGAAAATTAAATGCAGGTCACTGGCACACAGCTGGCATAGCGCAGCTCATCGGAGCCGCCGGTCTCGCTGTGAGCGCACAGAGACACAGATATGCCCATGGAAAGCCCCTGCCCTACGGCGCAGACGGCAGACGGCAGCACAAGATGAGACGCACTGACACACACCACGCTGACGATGGATTCTGTTTTTTTTTAAGTCTGCCGGCTGAAGCAGAAGATGAAACCTAAGGGAATCACAGGCAAACGTCCTGTAACAAATAAATACAAGGTTCCCTGCGTCCATGCAAGCCTGCACCGCAATTCTACAGAAACTGGTACTTGCCCCTTCCGATTTCTCCATGGTGTTGGCCAGCATCTCTTGCAGGGCCCGCACGGACAGGGACTGGTCCAGGACAAAGGTGCAGATGGACAGGTCTGGGGGGACATTCTGTGTGGAGAGAGGAAAGGGAAAGCCATGAGTGTGTGGTCCTCAGCTGCCATCGGTGGATAGCGTGCTCACCCCAGTGCCCAGCACACTAAAAGCTTTATCCCTGACCCCTGTGCCCAGCAACAGTAAAAAGCATCACTAACATCATGTGGAGTCTCATGGACTTTCCTGCCTGGGCTGGCTTCGAACCATGATCCTCAGATCTCAGCCTCCTGAGTATCCAGGATTCCAGGCACGAGCCACCAGTGGCCAGCATGTGTTTCTTTTGCCTAGCTATTCTGGGCTACAGAATCTCTGATACCTCCGTACTATTTAAGGTAAACTAGTAAAGGTTTTCCTTAGCCTAGATGTGTATTTCCACAGATAACCTTGAACTGGTTATTCTCAGAGAACACGCAACGCCATGCCTTTGTTCTGTTTTCTCAACCCAGGACTGAATCACCTGAAAGGAAAAGGTCTCATTCATGAATCGGTGCCAACCAAACAGTGTCAACCCCCAGGGACTCCCAACTCCAGGCACAACAGCAGACCAGGCACAGAACATGCCATTAGCACCTGTGCGTAACATAGTCCAACTCAGAAGCATCTGCAAGTATCATCTTTCCCTTGATTTTCATTATTCTTAAACTCAAGTCTCATTCCTGAAAACATTGACTTCCGGGCTTCCATAGGAAAGCCTCAACTATGAGTATACTCCCAAACCCTAAGAGAAAATGCTCTGCAGAATTCATTAGAAGAGATACAACAATAGTAACAAGTCCACTCAAGGTTCATTCTCCCAAAGCAGTATACATAAATGATACAGCCTATGTAATGCCTTATCCATTCATTGCAGCAATACTGTCAATAATACTATTATTATTTCTTTAAAAAAACATTTAAAAACATTAAGGCTTAGTGAATTCAAACCAAAATCCTCTTAACTTCAAAGTTACAGATCTTAACCATTACGTGGGAAAACTTGGAAATTTCATAGCTCTACTTATTACAACTTGCACACAGACTAAACATTTGTATTTCGTTTCTGAATTTCAATAAAGTTGCATTTGTATTTATTTCTAAAAAACAAATTTCTGATCATCTCAGGACCCAAATCCCAAACCACAGATAGGCGTGCATACCTGCCCCGTCACACACAATACACACACCATTACCTGATATGCAAAATTAAATCAGAGAACGTGACTCTGTCTGCTTACTTGTCTATCTTACCATTGCAGAATGTGCTCAAAGCAAGCAGACAGGAGGCGAATGACAGTTTTTATGTGGAGACAACCAATATCCATGCCATCAGGATATGTGGACTTTGGCAAAAGTAAGTAGGCTAGCGGCAGAGCCTGTGCCTGCTCTCCTAAAAATCTGGAATGATCACCAGTCCCATCAGCCACTGAGTCTCATGGGGAGTGATTTACTGGAATAACCTCAAGGTAGCATCCATCTTATCGGCGCTGGAGAAGCTATATAAAATCAATTCCAAAAGAGGTACCCAGCAGGTCCTTCAGCCTCCACAGATACATCTGCCCAGTTCACTTAAAAATCTATTAGAATGTGTCATTCCCTTAACCAAATTGAAACCCATAACTGAGAAGACTGTGAGTGACATTAAGCCACTGTTCCCACAGCACTATGTAAAACCCAACACTAGCAAACTGTTCCATTTGATCATTCTGACACTTGCTCAAGGTCGTTTTTTTCCTTCTCACTCTTAGCCTGAAATATCCATCTCCAGATCTCTGAGCCTATGGGAACTATGTCATCTTTTTAAATCACAATATAAAGTCACATTTAACCACATTTTCTGCCAGACAGGGTTGCTCACGCTTGCAATCCCAGCTACTCAAGAGGTGGGGATCTGGAAGACTGCAGTTCAAGTCCAGTCTCGTTGAAAAGTTAGCAAGACCTCATCTCAACCAACAACCAACAAGATATGTACCATACCTTACCTATGGAGACGATCGCTAAGATAACCATGTCCCAGACTGCCCACAGGCAAAAACTTGAGACCCTATAACATGGAAAGTAACTAAAGCAATTAAGGGCTGAAGCGTGGCTCAGGTGCTGAAGCCAAACAACACTGGAAACTAGGAAATTCTTTTCCTACTGAATTATGCACTCTTTCATTCCCAAGAGTGAACAGTCAGATTTTTGGTGTACAACTCTCCAAAAAATATACATATGTAGGGCTGGGAAGTTGGCTCAGTGGTAGAGTGCTTGCCTTGCATGTCTGAGGCTCTGGGTTCGATTCCTCAGCACCACATAAGCAAAAAGAAAAAAAGCCAGAAGTGGTGCTGTGGCTCAAGTGGTAGAGGGCTAGCCTTGAGCTGAAGAGCTGAGGGACAGTGCCCAGGCCCAGAGTTCAGGCCCCACGACCAGACCCCAAAAAAATAAAATATATATATATACACATATGTATGTAAGTATGTATAATCATATATGTGTGCGTACATACATGTGTATAGATGCCTATACATATGTATATAGAGACATGTGTATATATATGAATATATGTGTGTACACATATATAAATATGATTTATATGTATGCATTTGTGTATATATATATATACATACACAAATATATATGATCACATAGAACACATAAATTGTCTTTTCCCATTGGTCTGTATGAATTACAGTTCTCTAATTGAATCATATATTCTGAATATGTTAGCATCTATTTCTTGCAGCATGCCTGCTCTACAATCTGGGTGTATCACCCCTGCTGAGGCCTGCCCCGCCCTGTGGAAAGCTGGTGTTTGCCGTGCACCTCCTCCACCACCCTGGCCCAATCCAAGGACTCCCACAGAGCAAGCACCAGGGTTTGATGCCTTTACCTCAAACTACAATGACATCTATTTCTGGAAAAAGCGACAAACCGGAGTCCTTCTGGCAGATCTCTCTCCTTTTGCTTTTGTGGTCTTCCTTCTAGATTTCCAGGAGGAAGGCAAACCAGCTAATTTCACTTCTCACACTGCCTTTCCATTGTGTCCCAGCCACCTTCAGGAACAGTACACAGGGATCTCAAAACATGCCCTCACACAGCCGCTGCATTCAACCTCAGGTTCCAGGAGAGGGGGCCGAAAATCCACAGCCAGGAATCAACTAAGAGCCTCAGGGAAGTCAGCCAGTAGGCACATTACTGCTCACTCTGAAGAATCCATGCCCTGTGAACTGAAAACATGCCGGTAAAATATGTCCATATCCGTCCAACTGAAGAACACCCCAAATTAAATTGGAAGGTCAAAATCTCAGACATACAAATTAAAAGAGCTGCCCGTTGACCAAGACGCAGGAAGATGGGGTTGCTGGAAGCAGAGCAGATGGCCCCGGTGGCGGCAGGTTGGTATGGGCTCATCCGCCATCTGCTGAGCAGCCTTTGGCAAGACTCGGTCGCCGCTGAGGGTCGGCCTCCCCCTGAATCAGAGGCATGTCAAAACACTCCGGAAGATAAAGTTGTGGTGGTAGTGGTGGGTTTACCAACTAGAGACATGAGCCAGGCAAAACTTCCCCTCACAGATGGGGCCCGATTCATGTTAACATGTTTATGTCTTCCCTGGTGACAATAAAACTCAGGCGATGGATCTGGTTGGTGAAATCCAGTGGGAAGGAAATATCAGCCAGAACAGAAGAGGGGGGGAAAAAAGGCAGTTCACCTTGTCCTCTTTCTAGGTCTTCAAAACTCCAAGGATAAGATTAGAACAAATTCCTGGCCTAGAGTGTTCCTCCAGAGCTTTGTCCTTTTCCTTGGGTGTGCATGGTTCTGCGTCATTTTCCTTTTCTGGTTCTTTCTCTCTCCATCCCACCCACAAGAGAGGTGAAGAAGATTACCCTGCACAAGGGAAGATGGTTCTCTGCTCCTCAGCCAGCTCTTGGCCAGGCAGGGATACATGGGATCCTGTCGGAAGAAGCAGATATGCCTGGGTCTCCCCAGGCCTTCTAGAATGTTCAGGAAAACTCCAGGCCCAGCGCCTGGTCTTCGTGACCCCTTAGGGTCCAGGTGGAGACAATGTCTTAGCAGGTTTAAATGAGCGGCAATTAGCAGGACATTGTCACCTCCAACGGCCATGGCTGTGCCAATGTAACAATTATGAAAATCCCCAGTGATGAACTGGTGGGAGTTTCACAGGATTTGCTCCTTGTACAGTGCATTCCTGGCATCTGTCTTCGGTAACGCAACATCCTCTAAACCTAGTGTCATGTGGATATGACAGCCTCACTTACTATAATTTTACAACCAGTTAAAAAGTCAAAGACCCAAACAGAATAGACTAGACCCACCCACACGAATAGAAGCACAGAATCTCAGGTCCCATCCAAGCATGCCTTTCTCACTCTAACCTTACCATGAAGTAATTCCATCTCAGGGCAAACCCAGTCACACACATCTCAAGTGAGAGCCATTACTGATGGCCCGTGCTTATGTGGACTTTGGAAAGCATTCTCTTGCTATGAACTGAGTTCTGAGACAATACATAGCTTATGTTTCTATTTGGTTGGTTTTTGTGCCAATACTGGGGTTTGAACGCAGAACTTTGCACTCTTGCTGGACTTTTTGGCTCAAGGATAGTGCTTTACCACTTCAGTTACATCTCCACTTCCACGCAATGATCTTTTAAAGCAGCCCAGGAAAACTAGTAGCTTCCCTGAGGAGCTGCCTTCTCCTAACCCTGCCTCCGCCTCTCGTCCCAGACACGGGACCATCTACCCCATGATCACAAAGACAACTCACCATCCCCATTAATGCTCTATGGACAGGCTGCTTGGACTCAGGTAATAATGACCCACTTACCTACATCACATTTTAAACACCTAACTTCTCATCATGCCCACACACACTACACCAAGAAATCTTCTGTGCAAAAGAGTTATTACCAAGCCTCCCCACTTAAAAATCAGAGAATCTGGAACTGTTTGAGTCAATCTCTGAATAAATGAGTAAATAAGCCAAAGAAGCAAACCATGACTAAAAATATCAGAACCACTGCCGCAGTTCAAGTAGCC